CATACACACACACACACACACACACACACACACACACACACACACACACACACACACACACACACAAAGTCTCTGACCCCAGAATGCTCATCACACTGGCCCGATGTCCTGCTTGCTGAAAGAGTGCTGAAACTCCGCTTGTCTTTTGTCTCTGTGGTGTTTGCACCTCTCAGATCTCTCGCTTCACAGAGTTCCTTGTGTCAGTATTTGATTGATTTGAAGGTTTGCAGAGGCGCCGCTCACCAGAACTGATTTTGCTCATCATTTACTGCTGATTTTGTTGTTTGAAACCTGTTTGCTTTGTTCTGGAGGATGAACAGATTCTTTCTGTTTAGTAAAATATTCACACTGATCTCAGTGATCTTTAATCTTTATTGCATTTACATCTATCTATCTGTCTGTCTGTCTGTCTGTCTGTCTGTCTGTCTGTCTGCATTTGAGATGAGCAATTGCATTTGCCACATTTATTTATTTAAATATATATATATATATATATATAAATATATATATAGTTGAAGTCAGAATTATTAGCCCCCCTGACTTATTAGCGCCCCTGTTTATTTTTTTCCCCAAATTTCTGTTTCATGAAGGGAAGATTGTTTCAGCACATTTCTAAGCATAATAGTTTTAGAAACCTATTTCTAATAACTGATTTATTTTATCTTTGCCATGCTGACAGTAAATAATATTTTACTTGATATTTTTCAAGACACTTCTGTACAGTTTAAAGTGACATTTAAAGGCTTAACTAGGTTAATAAGGTGAACTAGGCAAGTTAGGGTAATTAGGCAAGTTATTGCATATTGATAGTTTGTTCTGTAGACTATCGAAAAAAAAATTAGCTTAAAGGGGCTAATAATTTTGTCCCAAAATTGTTTTTTAAAAAATTTAAAACTGCTTTTTTTTTCTAGTCAAAATAAAACAAATAAGACTTCCTCCAGAAGAAAAAAATATTATCAGACATACTGTGAAAATTTCCTTGCTCTGTTAAACATCATTTGGGAAATAATAGAAAAAGAAAAAAAGGGGGGCTAATAATTATGACTTCAACTGTATGTATATATATATTAAATTTTAGTTCATTTTAGTTCAGTTCGATCACGGTTCAGTTCGATACGATACAGTGGTGTCACGGTTCGGAATGTTTTCAATACAGCAAAAAAAGAAAAAAAACTGAGAATTTCTCTGATTTTAATTTTTTAATGTATTGAAACTAACATGATAAAAGTTTGATCCTGTTTGTTTTATCTTTTACTTTAAACAGTGATAGAGCTATACTTCCGGGGTTTCTGCTTATCAGCAAATAAAACAAATCCTTCATTATACTCCAACCCAAAAAGCTGCTTATAAAAAAATAAATATAATATTGTAGCAGTTAAACAAATAAAAGAAAAGAACAGTTTAGTTTTTAAATGGAGCTCAGTTTCAAGTATTTTTTTTTTATTTTCAGAAAGATGAGTGTCCACCTTCCCTCAGACAGCACAGATCTGCTTGATTTGATCACCTGCCGTTTTAGTGGATCTGAAAGCAGGAATTATCTGACTGAAATGGGCTTATGAAGGAATAATGTAACGGGGCTCTATTACATTTAACATTTTCACTCGACATTTTCACTACTGATTAAGATCTCTCAGATGTTTTTCTTCCACCACTCTCTTGGTAGTGGTGATGGTGCGCAACGTTTCTGAAGAGCGGTGGGCGTGTGCGTGCGATGTACCTGAGCGGCGGGGATGAGTTGTGCCCAACGTACCTGAAGAGCTGGAAAGGATGCGGTGGAGAGGGGTGTGCGACATATTTAAGGACCGGGGGGGGAGGGGGTTGGTGATGCGTGATTTCCAGAAGATTATCATTCATTTGCGGGCATCCAGGAGTCTCCCGAAGCTTCCGGGAGACTTGGGATGTCTGGGATTACATGAACTTTACTCGCCATTTTGTGAGCTAGGTTAGCGCGTACCTGACTGGAGTAATGTTTGGAGGTTGGCTCTTTTGTGTCGGGGGTCCAGGGTTGCTGGGGCAATGGGGGCCAGCACAATCAGCCAGGCTGACACAGAAGCTAGCAAGATTGCTAATGAGTGCATGCTTTAATAAAGTGATATTCTGAGTTCAAAAGCGAGGGTCTACTGTTTAACATGACAGCGGGGAAGGCAGCCTGTTGTCTGCCATGTCATTTGGGATGCCATGTTGAGCGTTGTTGAGCTGAAAACATTATATTTTATTTTGTACTTATTCCCTTTTATCTTTTTAGATGTTAGTCTGAATTGAATTGTTTGGTTTGTAATGCGTACCGAACCAAAAGTCTCGTACCGAACGGTTCAATACAAATACGCATATCGTTACATCGTTACACCCTTAATATATATATAAATA